AGGACCCAGATTGTTGGGGGCAATATGCTGACTCTCTGTAAACCGCTTAGAGAGGCCTGAAAGCCCTATGAAGCGGTATATAAGTCTACTGCTATGGGTGGATGGATAGATATATAGACAGAGAAATAGATGAGAGAGAGATAATAGATGGAAGATAGATAGATCAATAGAGAGAGAGATATCGATAGAGAGAGACGAGAGAGAGAGAGACAGAGAGCAAGAGGCGCCTACCTCATCTTGGCATCTCCCCAACTCATACTGCATCTTCTCCACTTCCGCGTTCCGGTCCTTCGCCTGTTTCTGGGAGTCGCTGATCTCCTTGCGCGACTTCTCCTTGTACTCCTCCAGCTGGGACTGCAGCTCCGAGAGGGCCTGGTGAGATTCCTCCGTCATCTGCTTCAGCTGGAGGAGGAGAGGACACCCAAGGGGGTCACCACAGGGTTGCTTTCACCCTGGATCCCGTCCCCCCCGCCCCCCAATTGACCTTCTTCTGCATTCAGAAAAGTTGGGGTAGGTGCCCAAGGGGAGAGGTAGAAGGTCCTGGGATGTCTTCAAGGTGGCCCCTCAGAAAGCTTCAACCTATGGTTCTTGACCCTGGGGAACCCCGTTTTGACGGCCCTCAACAAGACTGACCTCCTTGCTCAGCTTCACGATGCTTCTGTCCAGCAACCTTTTCTCCTCTTCCAGGTCGTTTTTGGCCCTCCTGAGTGCCTCCTTCTGCTTCAGCTCCTCCTGGTAGGAGGTGCTCAAGTCCTGGTGCTCCAGGGTGAGCCTATTGAGGTTGCGCTGAGCCTCCTCCAGCCGACTCTCCAGGGACCTCTTGGCCAGCAGGAAGTCCTGCTCCTGGTCCGCGGCGTTGTTGACGGACTCTTCCATCTGCTTGCGGTCAGCCTGGAAGCAGGAGGAGGAAAGCAAAAAAAGGGGAAACTGAGGCAGGGACCAAGAGATCGGCCAAGGAGGAAGCTCCTTTTCTGCTCAAGGAAAGTTTCAGAACCGGATTTGGGGGGGTCATTGAGGAGGCAAGAGACCCCCCTCCTCAGATCTGGGCCTACAGATGGAACGCCCATCTACTCAAAGAAGACATTGAGAAGTTGAACTACCAAGTCCCCAAGAGAACCTCGCTTCTCCTTCCCCGTACCTCCAACTTGAAAATCTTCTCCTTCAGCCTGGTCTCCACGTCTTGCCAGCTGTCAGCAAAACGGTGGTACTCCTTCAGTTGGGTCTCCAACCCCAAGATCTTACGCCGAAGGTCATCGTTCTCTTCCTGGCTTTCCTGCAGGGTGGACTCTACCAGTTTCCTGGTCTGCTCCATGGCCTCTTTCTCGCCTTCCAAGGCCTCCTTGGTCTACAGGAGGAAAGGATGGAGAAGACAACTGCCCCACCGCAATTCAGCTGGACGCTGAACCCGTTTGGAAAAGCCAGATCTACCTCCCGAGGTTCTTCTTACCTTAAACGCTTCCTCGTAGTCCTTCTGGAGCTGCTGCATCTTTTCTTGGAACCTCAAGTTTAATCCCTGAAGGTCCTGGCTGTGGGACGCAACCTCGTCGTCAAGTTTCTCCTTCAGGTCAATAATCTCACTCTCCCGCAAGCGTAGGACCTTGTGTTGGTCCTCCTTCTCCTCCGCCATGTCCTGCAGCTGTTCCTGAGCCTGACGGAGCTCCTGGCGGGAGGATAAAATGAGTCAGAGCCATCCCTTTCCTTGCAGGAAAGGACCACGAATGGTCCATGGCTTCCATTGGCATGTCAAGTTATGGCAGCCCAACCAATAAGCGAACCCATTTCAAGAGCTGGGAAACTGTTGGAGGACCAGGTAAGAGGCATAACCTCTCAGGAATCCAAGCTGGGATACTACAAAGCCCCTTAAGGCTCATCCTTAGAACATACCCATGTTCCTCAGCTCTTAAAAACGGCAAAATATGGACATAGATATCTGGACCTGTGGCCATTGTCCTATTTGGTGGAAATCGAAGAGGATGAGCAACGAAGAAGACATAGAAACATATGTCCTCTCTACACTAGGAGTAGAGGACCAATCTGGCACTCAAGCACCCATCAGGCCACGGGAATGTGATCAGAGGATGATGGAGCTTGGGAATTCTTCAACCATCATCGGAGGTCCCGACCTGGTGGTGTTTCCACACACACAGTTACGAGGTCCATCTTAGCGTTTCTCCACGGCGAATTTCAACTCCCGTGGAAGCTGGGGAATTCTGGGAGTTGAAGTCCATCGCAACCACCTTGAAAGTGGTCTAGTTGGTTGTTCTCTGCTGCTAAGCGCACCTTTCTTAGCTTATGGAGCCCCTCGGCGTCCGTAGAACGGTTCCGGAGCTGCTCCATCTCTTTCCGCGTGGCTGCCAAGTGCTCGCGGCTCTCCTTCAGGTCCTCCTCAAACTCCTCGCGTTCCACTTTCACCTGCATCAGCCTGGAAGAGGTGAAGGCCACCGACCGCGTCAACCACCAAGGGAGCCAGTAACAAATAGCAATAGCAGTAGACTTATATACCGCTTCATAGGCCTTTCAGCCCTCTCTAAGCGGTTTACAGAGTCAGCATATTGCCCCCAACA